ACATTATCCCTCTCCTGAAGCCGGGTAAGGATCCATCTCTTCTCTCTAGTTTCCGTCCGATCGCTTTAACCAGCTGCCTTGGCAAAACTTATGAAAGACATAAACAGGCGGCTGGTGTGCGTTCTAGAAAAGGAAAACATTTTGGATAACAACCAGTGCGGCTTCCACCGAGGACGATCGACCTTGGATCATTTGGTGTGTTTAGCATTTGTGAATAGGCAGAATTGTGGATCAGTCTTTTTTCGTTTAGAAAAAGCGTACGATACAGCATGGAGATATGCCATCCTCCAAGACCTTTATGGCTATGGACAGCGGCGTATACTTTCCGTTTTCCCGGGGGGAGGGGGGGGGGGGGGGGGAGGAGGAGGAGGAGGAGGGAGGGGAGGGGAGGGGATGCTGCGCGTTACCTTTTCGCCAGATCTGGAGATTGAAGCTAAGGAAAGCACACTGGGATTCCATTTCCCATGTATTTTGTCAATAAAGGCAACGTGGGCGTTATTTTGTTTACATGCTGTTGAGGAAGTCGAAGAGAAGAAAGAAGAAGGCACGAGGAATTGAAGTACTGATCGAGACTTTAGAAAGAGGAAGATGAGGGTGTTGTTTTTTTTACCATTAAACCCAACGTTCACATAGACCTTCTGATGCTAAAGTCCACCGTCTCACTGATAGATCTTTAAGAATTCCACATGGTGCCGAAACCCGGGAGAGAGCTTCAAGTCATCGTATCGTGCTCAACAAGACGTTGCGAAGGCAAGTGAAACGGAAATCTTATTGATCACAAAGATCCAAGCGACGGAAGCATTACGACCGGGAGAAGCAAAGCGAAGACAAGCTCTCCGGCTTAGAGATCTGCAAGGTTGGAAACGGCATCAGCTGACCACTGAACTCACAAATAGCCATGGATCGGTTGAAAGCCAAACGTTCAGCCCGACGAGCCCAGAACACGCGGCTGATTAACGACGCCGACACGATCTTGAATGATCCACAGACAGACTTAGGCAGGCTCCACGCGGTCAAGGATCGGCTGTCTGCCAGCAACATCGAGCTAGACCGCATCAACGAGGAGCTGGAGCCACTATTGCCAACGACGGAGCTGGAAAATGAGTACGCTTCGGTAGCCGAATACCAAGACAACGCCATCAGGGTTCTCGCAGAGCTGCGATACGATCGAACACCTGGAGATCACCAGACGTAACCCTGTTCCTCCTACAACGGCCCCATTACAAGGCGCTTCTGAAAGTATCACCCCAGAGAGTGGTCCAAGACTGCCGAAACTGGACATAACCATTTTTAAAGGCGACATCAGCCACTGGCGCGCTTTCTGGGAGCAATTTGATGGAACAATCCACTCAAGTCGGGCATTGTCTACAACTGACAAGTTCCATTACTTACGACGCTACCTCGCAGGTGATGCAGCATCGGCAATTGCCGGGTTACCGACGACCGAGCGGTGCTACGCAGATGCTATTGAACTCCTGAAACAGCGCTTCGGAGATCCCAAAAGAATAGAGCAGGAGCACCTATCAGCACTGCGAAACCTTCCTCAGATTCGATCTTCGGTTGACACCCGGGGTCTTCGCAAGCTTTATGATACAACGCAGCTGAACATACGTTGCCTCAACGCCCTAGATGTTCCAACTGCAAGTTTTGCGGCAATGCTCAGCGACATTCTGATGAAAGCAATGCCATATGACATCGTCGTGCAATATCATCGGCAAGTCAGCTACAAGCTCTCAAGCAACGCAAATTTGATGCAGGGCGACGGTTCCGCATCAGAGACATCCACTGCCGCTTCGAATCTCAATGAGATCCTCAGTTTCCTCCGCATCGAAGTAGAAAGCAGAGAGCGAAGCGGCCACCCCGCAGCTCGAGGCAAGGAGCAAACAGACGAAACGAAGGACCAGTCCCAGCCGGCGGCATCAGCGCTCCATAGTGAGGCACCTTCAGCGCCAGGGGAATGCCTTTTTTGTCACTCGAAGAAGCACGAGACACAAATTTCCGATGCTCAGGAGACGCTATACAACAAAAAGAAGATGTTAGGAAGAGATGGGAGATGCGTCCGGTGTACTACAAAAGGGCATCGTGCTAGGGATTGTCGAAAAAGACTGATCTGCTCATCATGCGGTGGTTGACATGCCGTCACTATGTGTGACCCGTCATACACACGAACAAAAGAAGGAGCAGTCGCCTGTGTGTCTTCGTCTAAGCCGTATGAAAAGAGAGATGACTCGTGTCAACGGACAATCGGAGATCGACTCCACCTACAGACATTTAAAGCATGGGTCATCAACAAGGACACCGGCCGATATATAAGGGGAATTCTGGACGGAGGCAGTTAGCGATCATTTATTCAAGAAGACTTGGCGCAGCGATTGAATCTCAAGATTCTGCAGAAGACGAAGCTTAAACTGAACACGTTTGGCAGCACTACCAGCAAGGGGCTTGAACATAGCAATGTGGTGGAGGTCCGCCTCAAGAGCCAATTTGACGATAGCGAGTGCTTAATCGAAGCGGTAACCATTCCGGTTATTTGCCAGTACATTGCAGCGCAAATTTCTGAGGACAGTTTTCTAGAGTTCTTACGCCTGCAAAATAGAAATCTAGCAGATGACACAGTGGTTCCAGAAGTGCAAGTTACGCCAGGAATTAGCTTACTTATTGGATCCGACCAAGTTTGGAAAATCCTCACAGGAGAGGTCGTGAGATGTAAGGAAAGCGAGGGGCTGGTGGCAGTCAACACGAAAATAGGTTGGACTTTGCAGGGACCGTCTATACCAAAAGGAATCTTGACGTCCGCATCGACATTGATGGTGTGTGTACTGAACACCCAAACTTTGACAGAGGATGAAATTACATCCGAATTACTAAAAGCCTTCTGGGAGCTGGATGCCATGGGAATTTTGGCTAAGGAAGCTGCGGACGACAATCTAAACCTCTGCGCATATTTTGAAGAAAACATAGTCAAAGATGGCCAACGGTACGAAGTAGCGTTTCCTTGGAAGGAGGATTGCACAGAGCCCTTGCAGAACAATCGAGACATAGCAGTCTCACGCTTGCGTTCGCTTCTCAGACGACTTTCATCCAGAGAGGGGTTACTTCATCGGTACGACACCACCATCCGTCAGTACATAAAGTTAGGTCATGCGGAAGTGGTACCAACCGACTTGGAAGGTGATAACAAGAAACGCATCTATTACATGCCACACCGAGAAGTTGTCCGGGAGGAGTCTACAACCACAAAGCTACGAGTAGTCTTCGACGCTTCGTCACATGCAAAAGGATGCAAGTCTCTCAATGACTGCCTGGAAAAGGGACCAAACCTGAATCCAGACATCCTCCAGATCCTTCTTCGGTTCAGATGGTATGCGATCACCTTGACAGCTGACATTGAAAAGGCTTTCCTTCAGATAAAAATCAGTCAAAAAGACCGTGACGCGGTCAGATTCCTGTGGTTTGCCAATGAGCCCACCGGGCCATTTGATTTAGAAAGCTTACAAGAATGGCGAATGACCAGAGTCCCTTTCGGTGTATCCTCCAGTCCTTTTCTATTGTCTGCGACAATTCAACACCACCTAAAAAATGTGGCAGTTATAAAGAACATTGCTGAAAAGATGAGGAGCTCTTTTTATGTCGATGACATTTTGATGGGTGCCGACACGGTCGAAGAAGCGATTACGCTATACGAGACGTCTAACTCTATCATGAAGGATGCGGGCATGAACTTGAGAAAATGGGCCTCCAACGACAAGCACGTGCAGCACATAATGAACGAAGCGGAAGCAGATGCGGTACCGGCAGACAGGAACCTTAAGCTGTCCAGAATCTCCAAGGTGCTGGGAATGATTTGGGACAAGGACAATGACAGTTTCAAGTTTTCGGTG